TTTCGATTTAGCTTTTTTCCCCTTAGAGAATTTTTCTATTTCAATTTTTAGCCATTAGACAATTTGGCCGAGTGGTCTGAGGTGCCAGATTTAGGCTCTGGTCCGAAAGGGCGTGGGTTCAAATCCCACAGCTGTCACAAATTTTTTTTTTTCTTCAATGAATTTTTCTATAACCATACAACATTGAGCGTTTCCTCAGTGAATATTTCTATTTTAATTTTTAGCAATTGGATAGTTTGGCCGAGTGGTCTAAGGTACCAGATTTAGGCTTTGGTTCTAAAGGGCATGGGTTCAAATCCCATAGCTATCACAAACTTTTTTTATTTTTTTTTCATCAATGAATTTTTCTATAACTATACAACATTGAACATTTCCTCAGTGAATTTTTCAATTTTGATTTATCAATGAATTTTTCTATAACTATACAACATTGAACATTTCCTCAGTGAATTTTTCAATTTTGATTTTCAACAATTGGACAGTTTGGCCGAGTGGTCTAAGGCGCCAGATTTAGGCTCTGGTCCGAATGGGCGTGGGTTCAAATTCCACAGCTGTCACAAATTTTTTTTTTTCTTCAATGAATTTTTCTATAACCATACAACATTGAGCGTTTCCTCAGTGAATATTTCTATTTTGATTTTCAGCAATTGGACAGTTTGGCCGAGTGGTCTAAGGTACCAGATTTAGGCTTTGGTTCGGAAGGGCGTGAGTTCAAATCCCATAGCTGTCACAAACTTTTTTTATTTTTTTTTCATCAATGAATTTTTCTATAACCATACAACATTGAACATTTCCTCAGTGAATTTTTCAATTTTGATTTTCAACAATGGGACAGTTTGGCCGAGTGGTCTAAGGCGCCAGATTTAGGCTCTGGTCCGAAAGGGCGTGGGTTCAAATCCCACAGCTGTCACAAATTTTTTTTTTCTTCAATGAATTTTTCTATAACCATACAACATTGAGCGTTTCCTCAGTGAATATTTCTATTTTGATTTTCAGCAATTGGACAGTTTGGCCGAGTGGTCTAAGGTACCAGATTTAGGCTTTGGTTCGGAAGGGCGTGAGTTCAAATCCCATAGCTGTCACAAACTTTTTTTATTTTTTTTTCATCAATGAATTTTTCTATAACCATACAACATTGAGCATTTCCTCAGTGAATTTTTCAATTTTGATTTTCAACAATGGGACAGTTTGGCCGAGTGTTCTAAGGCGCCAGATTTAGGCTCTGGTCCGAAAGGGCGTGGGTTCAAATCCCACAGCTGTCACAAATTTTTTTTTTCTTCAATGAATTTTTCTATAACCATACAACATTGAGCGTTTCCTCAGTGAATATTTCTATTTTGATTTTCAGCAATTGGACAGTTTGGCCGAGTGGTCTAAGGTACCAGATTTAGGCTTTGGTTCGGAAGGGCGTGAGTTCAAATCCCATAGCTGTCACAAACTTTTTTTATTTTTTTTTCATCAATGAATTTTTCTATAACCATACAACATTGAGCATTTCCTCAGTGAATTTTTCAATTTTGATTTTCAACAATTGGACAGTTTGGCCGAGTGGTCTAAGGCGCCAGATTTAGGCTCTGGTCCGAAAGGGCGTGGGTTCAAATCCCACAGCTGTCACAAATTTTTTTTTTCTTCAATGAATTTTTCTATAACCATACAACATTGAGCGTTTCCTCAGTGAATATTTCTATTTTGATTTTCAGCAATTGGACAGTTTGGCCGAGTGGTCTAAGGTACCAGATTTAGGCTTTGGTCCGAAAGGGCGTGAGTTCAAATCCCATAGCTGTCACAAACTTGAACATTGAACATTTCCTCAGTGAATTTTTCAATTTTGATTTTCAACAAGGGGACAGTTTGGCCGAGTGGTCTAAGGCGCCAGATTTAGGCTCTGGTCCGAAAGGGCGTGGGTTCAAATCCCACAGCTGTCACAAATTTTTTTTTTCTTCAATGAATTTTTCTATAACCATACAACATTGAGCGTTTCCTCAGTGAATATTTCTATTTTGATTTTCAGTAATTGGACAGTTTGGCCGAGTGGTCTAAGGTACCAGATTTAGGCTTTTGTTCGGAAGGGCGTGAGTTCAAATCCCATAGCTGTCACAAACTTTTTTTATTTTTTTTCATCAATGAATTTTTCTATAACCATACAACATTGAGCATTTCCTCAGTGAATTTTTCAATTTTGATTTTCAACAATGGGACAGTTTGGCCGAGTGGTCTAAGGCGCCAGATTTAGGCTCTGGTCCGAAAGGGCGTGGGTTCAAATCCCACAGCTGTCACAAATTTTTTTTTTCTTCAATGAATTTTTCTATAACCATACAACATTGAGCGTTTCCTCAGTGAATATTTCTATTTTGATTTTCAGCAATTGGACAGTTTGGCCGAGTGGTCTAAGGTACCAGATTTAGGCTTTAGTTCGGAAGGGCGTGAATTCAAATCCCATAGCTGTCACAAACTTTTTTTATTTTTTTTTCATCAATGAATTTTTAGGGCGTGAATTCAAATCCCATAGCTGTCACAAACTTTTTTTATTTTTTTTTCATCAATGAATTTTTCTATAACCATACAACATTGAGCATTTCCTCAGTGAATTTTTCAATTTTGATTTTCAACAAGGGGACAGTTTGGCCGAGTGGTCTAAGGCGCCAGATTTAGGCTCTGGTCCGGAAGGGCGTGGGTTCAAATCCCACAGCTGTCACAAATTTTTTTATTTTTTTTTCTTCAATGAATTTTTCTATAACCATACAACATTGAGCATTTCCTGAGTGAATTTTTCAATTTTGATTTTCAACAATGGGACAGTTTGGCGAGTGGTCTAAGGTACCAGATTTAGGCTTTGGTTCAAAAGGGATGGGTTCAAATCTCATAGCTATCACAAACTTGAACATTGAACATTTCCTCAGTGAATTTTTCAATTTTGATTTTCAACAAGGGGACAGTTTGGCCGAGTGTTCTAAGGCGCCAGATTTAGGCTCTGGTCCGAAAGGGCGTGGGTTCAAATCTCACAGCTGTCACAAATTTTTTTTTTCTTCAATGAATTTTTCTATAACCATACAACATTGAGCGTTTCCTCAGTGAATATTTCTATTTTGATTTTCAGCAATTGGACAGTTTGGCCGAGTGGTCTAAGGTACCAGATTTAGGCTTTTGTTCGGAAGGGCGTGAGTTCAAATCCCATAGCTGTCACAAACTTTTTTTATTTTTTTTTCATCAATGAATTTTTCTATAACCATACAACATTGAGCATTTCCTCAGTGAATTTTTCAATTTTGATTTTCAACAATGGGACAGTTTGGCCGAGTGGTCTAAGGCGCCAGATTTAGGCTCTGGTCCGAAAGGGCGTGGGTTCAAATCCCACAGCTGTCACAAATTTTTTTTTTCTTCAATGAATTTTTCTATAACCATACAACATTGAGCGTTTCCTCAGTGAATATTTCTATTTTGATTTTCAGCAATTGGACAGTTTGGCCGAGTGGTCTAAGGTACCAGATTTAGGCTTTTGTTCGGAAGGGCGTGAGTTCAAATCCCATAGCTGTCACAAACTTTTTTTATTTTTTTTTCATCAATGAATTTTTCTATAACCATACAACATTGAGCATTTCCTCAGTGAATTTTTCAATTTTGATTTTCAACAATGGGACAGTTTGGCGAGTGGTCTAAGGCGCCAGATTTAGGCTCTGGTCCAAAAGGGTGTGGGTTCAAATCCCATAGCTGTCACAAACTTTTTTTTATTTTTTTGTCATCAATGAATTTTTCTATAACAATACAACATTGAGCATTTCCTCAGTGAATTTTTCAATTTTGATTTTCAACAATGGGACAGTTTGGCCGAGTGGTCTAAGGCGCCAGATTTAGGCTCTGGTCCGAAAGGGCGTGGGTTCAAATCCCACAACTGTCACAATTTTTTTTTCTTCAATGAATTTTTCTATAACCATACAACATTGAGCATTTCCTCAGTGAATTTTTCAATTTTGATTTTCAACAATGGGACAGTTTGGCCGAGTGGTCTAAGGTGCCAGATTTAGGCTTTGGTCCGAAAGGGTGTGGGTTCAAATCCCATAGTTGTCACAAACTTTTTTTATTTTTTTTTCATCAGTGAATTTTTCTATAACCATACAACATTGATGATTCACTTCTATAACCATACAACATTGAGTGTTTCCTCAGTGACTTTTTCTATTTTGATTTTTAGCAATTGGACAGTTTGGCCGAGTGGTCTAAGATGCTAATGTTATGCTCTGGAAAGGGCTTGGGTTCAAATCCTACAACTATCACAATTTTTTAATGAACCATACAACATTGAGTGTTCCCTCAGTAAATTTTTCTATTTCAAGTTTTAGCAATTGGATAGTTTGGCCACGTGGTATACGGTGCCAGATTTAGGCTCTGGTCCGAAAGGGTGTGGCAGTTGTCACCATTTTTTAATGAAGCATACAACATTGCGCTTTCCCTCCGTTTATTTTTCTAGATTTAGGCTCTGGTTTGGAAGGGCATGGGACCCTCTTTAGCACGATGGAGTCACCATTTTTTAATGAAGCATACAACATTGCGCGTTCCCTCCGTTTATTTTTCTAGATTTAGGTTCTGGTTTGGAAGGGCGTGGGACCCTCTTTAGCACGATGAAGTCCAACATTTATTGGACACATATCAAACACCTCGAATAAATTTTGGGAGTTAAATGCACCAAACTCATTTTCTTAATGCAATGCATACACTTATAAGCTTTGAATGCTCTTTTGTACAAATCTTGTATAAATATGATACATATTTTAATAAATGTATCCTTCTATTTCTATCCATACTCGTAGCTTCCCATTTTCTTGCTAAATTCACAAAATCAACCTATCTTTTCAATCGTTGGAATAATTCAAATAATCTGAATATGTTTCAATTATGCAACAAAAAAAATTGCCCAATATCCAAATCTTATACACAATCACTTCACTTTTCCTCAAAAGTACGTAGAAAAATCATCTTTCCATTTTCAAGTTCTCCATCTGTAAAACCATCTCCAAAAGTGACTTATTGAAATCAATGGATAGATAATCAGTTTCATAAACTAAACCAGTGAATCAGAACCAACAGGACCAGTACCATTTGAATGTTTGAATTAGAGATGAATTTGAAGGCATCAGGACCAGTTTTTTCTCACAAGTTTTTCTACCTTCAAACAATGAACATGAAATTGAAGGTACTGATGTATTCACGAGAAAATAGAGCTAAATAATGGCCATTATGGACCCACAAAGGGAAATCAAAGCTTCAATTAAACTGCTCATGCTAGTGAAATTAAGATGAATTATGCACAAACCAAAGTGATAATGAAGCGGGATTATTACCTATTATTATGCAGGAGGATCATTCAGCAAGAAATCCTCTACAGTTGAAGGGAATTCCAATCCTTCCAAACAATGATCGCTGCCATTAGAAGCAAAAACAGCCTTCCCCATCAGTAAATACGCCAATCTAAGAGGCTCTAATCTCTCTGCTTCACCGCCACCAGTCCAGAAGTAGTGAATCCATCCATTTAGCCTCTCCACCTCCTTTCCACATTTGGGGCCTTTTAGGCCAACGATCTTACTGTAAAACCCGCTTTCACAACCCTCACAGCCATTACAACCACTCCGAGCACCCAATTCCTGTTCTTCAAACGAATCCCCTAACCCTAGAAGTTGAACCAGCCGTTGAATGTCATCTACAGGCCGGTTTTGGCCACAATCGATGAGATTCGGGCTATTCGATTCTGATTTCAGATCTGAGGAATTCGAGAGGAATTCGGGAGGCGGTTCGCTGCTTTCTTGTAAGGAGGAGGTTGTGTTGGTTTGGGGCAAATGAAGGTACATGGGAGTGCTCAGGGACTCTTCGACCGATGAAGAAGAACTGATTTCTACTGGCAATGACGGTGCTCTTCGTGGCGATGGTGGACGAAGAGCGTCCCGTTGCGATGGATTGTCTAATTTAAGGCGTTTTTCGACCTGTGTAGTGAATCAATTTAAGAAAAATATGGGGAAAAACAGGGGAGAGGGAGGGAAAATTGAATTGAAATTGGGAGTTACCTGCTTAAGAGACGAAAAGAAACTGGAGTGCAGAGATATAGACGGCGCCGGTGGCGGTGGCGGTGGCGGCATTTTTTCACCCATGAAGCTGCGGCAATTTCTCGGATGGCCAATACACACGACGAGAGGCAAAGCTGTCGAACAAAAATTTGGTGCCAAATTTCGCGCGCAGCGCGCACATATATTCACACACACGTATTAAATTGTAAAAATTTGAAATTTAATTCATAAACTTTTATTTCTTACACTTTTAAATTTATAAATTATTTAAATTTTGATATTTCTTAAAATTTGCTAATGTACTATGCAAATAACTGAAGACAATCCTTACGAATCAAATCAACACGAGTCCTTTTTTAAGTAATTAAGCCACTGATGTACACCTTTTGGATACAAATGGTAATTTTTAATTCTTTTAAACCTTTCTTCATCATCCTATGATCACTCTCATTTGATTATAGTCTCCGTTCATTTATATATCTCTAATTTACTCCAATGTCACTTTCTTTTTTCTTTTTAATTCAATATATAAGTGTGTGAGATTCTTACAATGAATCCTCACTGGTAGATGATATTGCCATTTTTACTCGTTACGTATGATCCTCTCTAACAAATGTGGGATCTCACAATCAGTTTTGCTTCAAGTTTAATTTGTCAATCATTTTTTACAATGAATCCCCTCTGTAGGTCCGGCGTTCTGGTGGCATATCGTCTGATCTCTGCCTCTAATACCCATCACGGGTTGATATTGTCCGTTTTGGCCCTGCTAGAGATAGATTTTCACACTCTTATAAGGAATGTTTCGTCCGCCTCTCCAATCAACGTAAGATCTCACACCAATAATGTTGGTTACAACTAGTTTATTGCATTCGTGAGTGTTGTTTATCAATCATTGTTTTTTTTTTTTTTTTTTTACTTTCTTTCTATTTTCGCTTGCATCTTAGTCTAGTTTAAAATTTTCACCACCAAAGTCATGAAACTAAATCTTTCTCACACTTGTCATTGTTAATAGCGACAACGAAAAATTCATTGGTTTTCGCATAGAACCTACTTTTGAGAGTCGGGTTTGTAATTTTGATAATGGTGGTTGGAATCTTTGTTCCATACGACAAGATAATTGGGATAAGGAAGTGTAGATCATGATATCTTATCCAATATCTCAAATAAATCTTGGATACCAAGAAATTTCACTCAGCTAAAGATTACAATATCTGGTGCCGCAGCTGCCGATGGTTCTTGATTGGCTGACAACTAGGACAACACGATATGCCGAATTTAATTTAAAAAGAAAAAATTTATTCTAGCCATAAGAATCTCGACGTGGAGATTCATAGCCAATGAAATCATACACGTTGATTTTCCCACGATAACAATATTCTGTATTTAAAAACTGAATCTCAACGGCTTTCTCATCACTACACCAGCTAACAACTTTGAACGCATTTCATTTCTGTGATCCTTTCTTGCAATGGCGGCCTCTGCAATGGCTCTCTCCTCTCCGTCGCTTGCCGGGAAGGCAGTGAAACTCACTCCCTCCTCCTCGGAGATTGTCGGCAATGGCAGAGTCAGCATGAGGAAATCCGCCGCCAAATCTGTTTCTTCTGGAAGCCTATGGTACGGACCTGACCGTGTCAAGTATTTGGGTCCATTCTCCGGCGAGTCTCCGTCCTACCTCACCGGGGAGTTCCCCGGTGACTATGGCTGGGACACTGCCGGACTTTCTGCTGACCCTGAGACCTTCGCCAAGAACCGTGAGCTCGAAGTTATCCACTCCAGGTAAGAACTCAATAGCCCAACTTTACTTTAGGCCCATCATAAACAAAATTTTCAAAGAAAAAAGGATTTTTTTTAGAAGGGTTGGGAGGGAGTTTGTTGATCATGAATTTATAAGTACCAAATAACGACGTCTTCTAAAAAACCCAAAACAAAGTCACTAGAGTTTATGTTAAAAGTGAATAATATTTAAGATCGTGAAGATCAGTGATTGCTAACATGTTATCAATATCATGTCCTTAACTTAATTACGTCAATGGAATCTTCAAATGTCGAACAAAAAACGAAAGTATAGTCAAAAGTGATTCTTTGTTCGAGGACTCCAGAAAATATAGTCGAGCCTCGATTGTTCAAGGGATCCATAAGCCTTAGTAGAGGCTTTATAGTGTAATTTGTTCGGAGGTGTCATGCCCTTTTAACTTAGTCACGACAATAAAATCTTAAATCTGGAACAAAGAATGAAGTACAGTCAAATGTGACTCAAATATCAAACAAAGAGTATTCTGGGAGGATTGTTGGGAAGGAGTTTCGGGTTAAATGATCATAAGTTTATAAGTAAGGAATACAACTACATTGTTACCAGATCCATGATTCCTAACATTTTTTTCTTTTCTTGGGTCGGCCATTTTACAGGTGGGCTATGCTCGGAGCATTGGGGTGCGTGTTCCCGGAGCTTCTATCCCGCAACGGCGTGAAGTTTGGGGAAGCGGTGTGGTTCAAGGCAGGTTCACAGATCTTCAGCGAAGGTGGGCTCGACTACTTGGGGAACCCGAGCTTGATCCACGCCCAAAGCATTCTAGCCATTTGGGCATCGCAGGTGGTTCTGATGGGGGCGGTGGAGGGATACCGTATTGCGGGTGGGCCATTGGGGGAGGTGACGGATCCGATATACCCGGGTGGGAGCTTTGACCCGTTGGGACTTGCAGATGACCCGGAAGCCTTTGCAGAGCTGAAGGTGAAGGAGCTTAAGAATGGAAGACTGGCCATGTTCTCCATGTTTGGCTTCTTCGTTCAGGCCATCGTGACTGGAAAGGGCCCATTGGAGAATCTTGCCGATCACCTTGCTGACCCAGTCAACAACAATGCTTGGGCTTACGCCACCAACTTTGTCCCTGGAAAATAAGCTATAATTGTTTGTTCCTAGAGTGCTTTCGAGAACGAAACGACTGCGCTTTGTTAATTTTAGTTCTCCATCTTTAAACCAAAATCAAATGAAATAACATGTGGTTCTATATCCAAATTAATTCTAATGAGATAAAAGAGCTCACGAAAGGAAGATCGTTCGAGGACAATCGATATTAAATTATAAGTTTAGTTCTAAATTTTGAAATTTTTAAACTGTGACAAATCTAATGGAGAAAGGAACAAAAACATTCATTATAAGAATGTGAAAACTTCTTCTTAATAGATGCTTTTTAAAATTGTGAAGATATAACGAGTCAAAATAAACAATTTTAATTTTGTGTCAATAGATCTCTCTAACTTTAAAAAGTATGTAACGAGTGATTAAATCAAATTGGGTGTTCTATAAGCTCTTAAAGTTTCAATATTGTATCTCATATAGTGTAACCACGACTAGCATAGCAGATATTGTCCTCATTGGGCTTTCCCTTTCGTGCTTGTCTCAAGGCTTTAAAACGTGTCTGCTAGGGGAAGGTTTCCACACCTTTATACATGGTGTTTTGTTCTCCTCCCCAACTAATGTGAGACATCACAATCTACCCCCCTTCGAGGCTCAGTGTTCTTGCCGGCACTCTTTCCTTCCTCCAATCGATGTGGGACCACCCCCAAATCCACCCAATTCAGGGCCAGCGTCCTTACTGACACAGCGCATCGTGTCTACCCCCTTCGAAAAATGGTGAGAAAGTTGGCACATTGTCCGGTGTCTGACTCTGATACCATTTGTAACGACCCAGATCCACCGCTAGCCGATATTATCCTCTTTGGAGTTTTCCTGTTGGGCTTCCCCTTGGAGACGTTAAAAGGGAAAACCCAAATAGGACAATATCTAGTAGTGGTGGATGTGGGTAGTTACATATATATATAGTATTTATTTTTTAAAATTCATAAACCTAATAAATACAAGCAAAATTAAAAAAACATTCGTAATATCGTATACGATCAATATTCATTAAACTAACCATATCATATTCATTCACGAATCGCATCACGATTTTCAACCGTAGAGGACTCATTCAAATCATCAAGATAATTCTGATAACCATAAGAAACAAACCCCCACACAGCCAAAATCATGGACACAATTTTGATGCCATCCATTTTGTCATGAAAGAAAACGACAGCAAAAACAGGCACAACGGGCAAACCCAAAGCGCTTATGGCGTTGGAAAAGAGAGAAGAAACTTCAAAAATGAGGCCCACACAGCCAACCGAGAAAAGCTGCCAACTTATGGCTGTCCAAACCAAAGTCATTACGTACGAAGCCTTACCCAAATGAAACCCATCCATTTCCCCTTTCAAACTTCTCCATTCCCCACTTGCAAAGAAGCCTATCAATATGGCTGAGCTTGACACAATTGATTGGTAAATTATCATGTCCATAACTGCCTTGAAAGTCTCCTTTTTTATTACTTTCTTGAAGGCTAATTGGGTTAATGACAACATCAACCCGTACCCGGCCGAGGCCGCCACCGTGCAAACAAATCCTGTAATCAACGTGAACATGTCGATATTTAGGTTAAATGATATACATTGACGGCGATTTAGAATCTTACCTGTAATGAACTTAGCTCGAGAAGCGGGGTGGTTAGGGCCATCGGAGGCACCGTCGGAGACGGGTTCGGGTTGAAACATGAGGAGAGAGGAGGAGATGGTGAGAAGAACAAGAGAATTGAGGATGAAAGGGGTGAAGATAAGGGAGTTAAGGAAGTAAGAAAAGAAGGCATTGAAGGCCAATTGTGAGGCACAAATGAGGGAGTAGGTTGACACAGGAAGGTACATCAGGCCCACGGAGTAAAGAAAGCAACCAATGGCAACAAGGAGACCGAGAGAGACATAGAGAAAGGCAAGTTTTGTAGCCGTGGGTGGGTTTGATTGGAGGGTGATGTTTGAGGATGGGGTTTTGGGTGATTTTATCATGTAGAGTGGGAGGAGAATGGGAAAGCCTATCAATGTAACTAGAGTTGCCAACCATTTGCTTTTGCCACCTTTGTCAAAGTAGAGCCTCCCAAGCATGGTTCCCACTGATTGGCCTGCAATGAGCAGCACCGTGTAAACACCAATTCTCAGCCATCTTCTGTAATTTACTTTGATTCTCGGGTTTCTCCTCCGTTGGCTTAGGTTAATGGAGCTCGTTTGCTTTCTCGGACTCGCTTTCTCGTCTTCTTTTTCATACAACAACAACAATTACAAAACATGTCAAATGTTTCAAAATCGGCACAACAATTAACGTGTAAAAATCGAAAGATACACATGACATCATTCACGTAAATTAACATAACAGTTAACAGCTATCATGTTAATTTTTTATTTCAAGGGCACTGGTGGAACAAGTTTCACATTTATTGATTCCCGCCTTTGGATCTTGGTGGAGGTTTGGGAAAGTTTAACCCATAGATGACTATTTGAGCACAATTGCTCCTCTTCGCCTCTCAGCTAGGTCGTCTGCAAGCAGTTCTTCTCGAGCCGTCGCCAACCATTGTTGTCCCATTCTTTAGTGAACTGGAGCGCAACCATCTGAACTAGCTAGAAGCTATTGCTTCGAGTCGAAACACTAAAAAGAAAGACGAAGAAATGCAACGGTATGGGATCCAAGGGACCCCACCGCTCGTGCACACAGCGGAAAAAAACCAAAATTTATAGATATATGTTTGAATTTGAGTTGACTAAGACTTACCACCAAATTGAAGCCTCAATTCCCCAACATCTCCCATGCCCTAAAGTTGGAAGAAATTTTGTAGAGAGAGAAAAATGAGAGAATGGAGAGAGATGAGAGATGGAAGGTCTTAAATAGGGAAGGGGATGGGACACAAATTAAAGTACTTGAGCGGTGATGGTATTTTAGTAACAGTCCAATGAGAAAAAAGGAAAAGAAAAATAATCGTGTTATAGGTTTAGATAAGGATAAATTAGCTGTCACAGGCAAAAAGACAGTGATTTTTGTCCTAAATTAAAAACATTGGATTAATTAATTCATGTACCTCTTTGCTTTGATTTTATCGTATATGAAAACGACCACTGATGTAACAACTACTACTGTGTTACTAATTAACATTAAATTCCTAATCTTTCTTTTCTTATTTTTATTTTATTTATTAAAAAAAAAAAACTTTCAACTTAGTTTTATAGAAATTATCTGATAGTAACTAAATTGATAGTTTGGTATTAAGTTTCAAAACTGGATACCCATAAATCAAAATAGATTGTTATATCTAAATTAGTCGATGAGCTTCTCTTCAAATCAGGTACATGGGAGCATTGAAGATCGAGTTGGTCACCAAAACGATAAAAACAAAATTAAAAGGTTGTGATTTGGTCAAACAATCGACAATCTGATCTACTCGTGAAGTATGATGAAGATCAAATCAGTACCAGAAACACTTGATCTCGATCGTCAATTTCAATATGTTTTGTGTGAGTAGAAAGATAAAATTGGGTCGAAGCTCATGAAGGAGAGAGAAAGAAGCGAAATTAATCTCAACAAAGGACAACCCTTGTTGGATTGGGCAAACCCCATAGGTGCATAGAGCCAAAATGAACAAAATAATTTCTAACCGACGTATGATTATATGAATAGACTATTCAATCAATATCTTTGTATCGGAGGAACAAATCAAATCGAACAACCGACCGAAATTGATTCGATGGATTTTTGTACAAAAATGACTAGAGTCGATCTGGTTAAAAGTAAAATTAATTAATAGGTCGGTTTAAATGGACCACCAATAAGTAAAATGTTTTAACTTGTTTTAACTTGTTGGAGTTTATTCAGTCCAATTATCTTCTCTTCTTTCACATATGTCTCGTTCTCTAGCTTGATGTCTTCTTTCATATATGTTAATTTAAAATCTATTTTTTTTTCAAAATAAAATAATTAATTTTAATATGGATTTCAATTTCAATATTAATGAATTAATGAATATTTTGTATTAAATAAAATTTTCTTTACAACAATAAATAAATAACAAATAACTTATAAAATTTAATTTACACCATCCTCTAATTCTTAATAATTCTTAAACACGGGTTAGGACGTACCTTGCTCTTTCATTTTAATATTCGTTAACGTTAAGTCAATTTATACCTACTTCAACGATTCTTGTTCAACAACTAATCAATTTCATTACATTTAATAATAATATTAGATATCCGATCACAAATATTAAATACCTCAAATATTTATGCTAACAATTGAGTTGATGAATGCATTCCTGCACCAAGACTAGAATTAGTTACAAGAATGGGATTCAAAGGGCAAAGGCGTAATAATGTTAAATCCCTCAAAGCGAGATTCGTAATTCAAGCGACCTATATCACATTATAACTTATCTGTTCACAACGATAATGTTAGTAGTTGTTATATGAACGATGAACAGACGAACCAAAACCATAGAAATATAGTATTTAAAGTGACAAAAATGTGATAAAAATGTAAAAATCAAACTAGGGCTAATATTCGAGTAAACGCGTTGATGAGATTCATCGAGGATAATATTTGTATTCTATTTGATTATTACGAATATTGCAATCATATTTCAGAATACCGCAGAAACTAACACCTACATTTTCTTAATCAAGAGGAGTAAGACAGATAGATAGTTAAAAAAGTGGTATGAGAATTGAATTGCAATTTGTACCTGAATTAGGGACTTGGAGCAAAGTAGGATCTAAAGATGATTTGTTCAATTGAATATATTTAAATCCGGTGGAATCTTTGCTTTAAAGTTGTTCCACGAGAGATTCAAGTATCTCAAGTTTATGTGAAATCTCATTTCTGCAAGGAAGTTGCCTTCTAATCGGTCAAGAACAGGTCCATCCTTGTGAGCTTCTCATATAGTCTGTTTAATCGTTTGGAGACAAATCAATCTCCTCCAAACCCAGGTCATGGATGACTGAATTGATTGCTCTGCAACTTGAGCTCCTTCCGGTTAAGGATGGACCCTAAAATTTATTTTCAATCAATTTTCGTTGCCGAGAACCGAAGGAGACGACTAAATGATTCCTTCGTTTGGTTCTTCAATCACTTCATCTTCTTGGTCGACAAAGCTAGTAATCACTCGTTTGCATCAAGATGTTCCTTGGCTCGACTCGTTAGTCCTCTCTTCTTAGAATAATGGTTATGTTAATCCTCTGCATGTTTGTTCGTCTTTCGTTTGCTAGATTGAAGGTCTCTGTCTCGCCGGAGTTTATGTCCGACGAGACAAAACCGTTTGTCTTCCACTCTTCATTTCGTGTGTCCTTACTGGTGAGGTCTAAGGGTTCGTTGGAGGCTGACGTTTTCATAGTCGTCAGAGTTTGGGTTACACTCGCCGTAAAATTTTGATGTTCTCAATTTTTTCTTTCCTTTTTTGTCCTTACCTTATGTTCATGTTTACAAATGTAAATGAGAGCCATATCTAACTTTTTGTGTCTACAAATGTAAATGAGAGATCTAAATTCTTGTGTTGACAAATGTGAATAGATACTCATATGTAACTTTTTCTTTGGGAAGAAATGCACACAGATAATTTATTTTTTATTCTTCTCTTACTTCCCTTCTCCTTCCTCAATAAATAAATTAAAATTAGTAAGAAACACACCATACTGTCAATATTTCTAGCCTAAATTTATCTTCTTATCCATCTGTCTTTCAAAATGTTTAGCATCTGTCTTTCAAAATGTTTAGCTTTTTCAGCTTCTTTATTACGTCTTTTTTGCATGACATTGTTTTGTATAACATTTCTTATAATATTACAGTCTCCTTGAATAGAAAGGGAGACTACGTAACATGGGTGCCGCTGTAGCAGCGACACCAAATAATAGGAGTATATTATGAATACATAAAAGTTGAATCGTCCAAAACGTTTATTACATTAATGGGTGACGATGCATCTACCACAACTATAATTGGAATAGAAGCCAGGACACTGGCTTTGTAACATTTGCAACCTTCGGTAAGCTATTGTCAGGATTTTTTTGAAATGTTAACGAAGATTGCAAATGTTGGTAAAGGTTAACGAAGGTTGCAAATGTTCCAAAGACAGTGTCCTGGCTCCTATTACCAACTATCGTTATGGTAAATGCATCGTCACCCGTTAATGTAATAAACGTTTTGGACGATCTTTTATGTATTCATAATGTTAAACCTAGAGTTACTGTTATTCGATGCTGCTGCTATAGCAGCTGATGGTTACGTAGTCTCCCTTTCTATCTAAGGAGACTGTAATATTATAAGAAATGTTATACAAAACAATATCATGCAAAAAAACGTAATAAAGAAGAAGCTGAAAAATAGAGAATACCTCAGTTTTACGGCGAACTTAACCCAAACTCAGGGGATTATGAAAATGTCAGCCTCCAATGAACCCTCAAATCTCACCTTTAAAAAAAACAGAAATGAAGAGTGAAAGACAAAATTTAGCAAATTAGTTACAAACATAGAGATGGAGAACACCCAAGTTTTCCGGCAAGTGTTCCGGTGACTTCGAAAATATCAGCCTTCACCGAAGCCTTAGACCTCACCTGTAAGGATAGAAACCACTAAATAGATGAAAATAATTTATGGCGAAATCAAGAATCCTCATCTCAGGTATTGCAACTAGATTATTAAGACCTACATTATTCGAAGCTCACCTCACGTTCTTGCCTGTTTCTTGCTTGAAATGAACGATCCAAACACTCAGACCGCTCCTCTCGATCCTCTGAGTAGATCTGGTAGGAGACTTGAGAGCAGAGAGATGGAGAGTGAAAAAGGGAAAGAGAGAGAAAATTGTCGTTCACAAGGGCAAGGGCAATCAAAGACAACAGTAGAGGTCTTGTTGGTTGGGTCACAATAAGAAAAAGAGAGAGAAGAGAGAGGAAAAGATCTGATGCCAGCAGTATGAGAATCCTTGACCTAGACGTTCAGTAGTACGAGGAAAGGTGCTTTCACGAATTGCAATTCTTATTTCGTCAAAAACGTCTAAGAACTCAAGGTTAGTCCGTGAATGACTAGGTCGAGATGTTTATTGGGATTTTCTGTGCTAGTGATGTTTTTTTGAGTGATTCTTGGACTTTTACCTCCACCAATGTGAAAGCTGCCAAGATTTGTGTTCGAATCGAAATTTCAAGAAAACACGATTCAAGTAACAATTAGTGTTTTTCTCCAAATTCGAACTCAAATAATAAGACCTTTATATATATAAGTAAAATCTAATGTAGAAATAGAATATGAGATCTACAATATTGGTGGATTCAGATTACGAATTGGAAGATATAAAAATGAGAAGAAAATCGGATCGAAAATGCAAAAAGCTCATGTTTCTAGAAAATTTGAAAAAACACAGGAGGAGAGAGAGAATGCCGCCACGCGTTGGCTGGCGTACGGAGGAGCGTGGCAAGACAAACGAGTGACACGTGGCGACCGCAGGCTGGAAGACGCGTCAAGTGCGCGCAACCGAGTCGGCCTGAGTCTGAACCGTGCGAATCGAATTGAACTTGCCGCTGGCCCGCGAATGCGAATTGAACCGTGCGAAGTCGTGCGTAATACACCCTCCAGAGCGCGTCAGTCGCGCATGTAGGCACATGAGTACTTTTTTTTTCTCTGTTTGCTTGTTTTTCATCTCGGTTTCGATACTAACCCTATTATTACGTGAATTAGGACATGTCAAAGAAATTCCATAATTTTTGGAATCCTTTCCGTTAAGAAACTCGAGTTTGGGAAGGCAGGCGTCAACCAAGTAACCATTTGGAATCCTACGAGCAGTACTTGCAGGAACCGCTTGGAATAAGCATGCATGCTACCACACCAATAAACTTAGCTAGCCGAACCTAGCATATGAGTATGAAAACCATGGAAATGAAATAGTTAAGAAAATAAATGGAATCTAGATATGAATGATTATGTATCTGTTTAGATTTGAGATTGTGATGATGTATGTATACATGAGGAGGAAGGGAAACTTGTGAAATCTGCGCTCCGGGTGAAGATGGATGTTATCTTCCCGTTGAGTATGTTTGTTTATATTACATGAATTGTTGTATGTTAACTCCAGTGCATGATCGTTGAATAGGAAGGAACTACGAGCTTAGACTATGGCACTTGAGACTATGTAGGCTAGACAAAATCCTAGATTGGGATACCTCTAGAATAAGGTGCATTTAGACCCGCGAAATGATTACCAGCGGATCTAGAGCCCAGAATTCCAAACCACGATAGGTTTGTGAGACCTTGCACGAGAATCCTAGAGAAGAATGAATCAGGTCTAAGTCACCAAGAGTCCGCCTTAGAAAGAATAGTAGGACACCACGGTAATTGTAGGTAGCCCACTAGAGTTGAGCAGTGTGGATAGTGTCATTAGAACCTCCACTTTCCTCTATGCTCTGATATCGTACCGTGGAGACAGAGCTCCGGTACAAAGATTGTTGAGCTTGGCAGATCCGGACAAGGAAGTGTGACAGGTGCCCAGACCCAGTGGTAATAGCTAAGGGGTCTTCTGAACAGGACTCCTGGGTCGTAGAAACCCATCCCTGAGCAGGAGAACATGGTACCACATAGGATGATTTAGTGGCTGACCGGCACACAGGGGTTCGCAACCCCCGATTTTAACAGATGTATGGTCCCGTGGGGGGTTGTCAGCTAACCTCCACGGATGATGTTTAGATAGAGTTACTTATTTAGATCCAACCATACGATCCCCTCAAATTTACTTGTGAGGTTATGCCTCACCTCAAGACACTGATCATCCCACTCCATAAGATGAGCCTTCTAAGATACAGGAAAGAGAGTATTAGTGTAATTAGCTCTCATTAGAACCTAGAGACAAGACCATGGATACCTACTATGATAAAGATGCGAAAATAGCCTACAAGTAGGTTGCTTACTAAATATATTTTTATACTCATCTCTTTTCCCCCTTTTTCTTTTTCAGGTACCAGTCGATACGGGGAGGTGTTCGAGAGCTACACTGTCACAGAGTGGTGTCGTTACGGAGCGTCAGTCCCTTGTTGGCCTTTTAGAGTCTTCTGTATTTCATTTTATATTTGTAATTCCTTTACTTGTTTTAAATTTTACGGGAGAACATAAACAGAGGTCAAGTTGGCTCTAAACCGTTAGAAGGGTGATGGAAGATAAGATAATGTGCACATATTAGGTCAATACAGGATCGAAGCAACAACTCTTATAGTGGCCTAATTATAGATCCCATATATTTTTGTAGGTTTAAGATTCGATCTCTATTAATTTTGTTTAATGAATTCAAGTTCAAACACGACGATGAACTTAGTGAGATTAAGGTCAAACCACTATAAATTCATTTTGGGTTTATGATTAAACCACTAACTCAACCAAATGCCATACCATTACGAAGATTCAAGGATCTCTCAACGAAAGATTGAACGAAACGCCAGTGGTGCAGAATCAGAATGTGCCTGCCGGTGGTGCTCTGCTTTTTTTATTATATCTTCCAATCAAAGATTGGACGAAACGTTAGTGGGGCACCTCAAGTGTTCGACGAAATGCGCCAAAGAGACGTGGGGGCTTTGGAGCGCAATGTTAATGCAACTGCCCGTGTCCTGAAAGGTATGTATAAATGTATGTATATATTTTTGGTATTGTGGGTTTTGATGGGGAGGCATCGATGGTGTTGGTGGGAACATATTCTGCAAGTTGTGTGGTTTATTGCTGAAAGTTCATTAGCTTTTCAAGAGTATGGCTTTATTCTTCATTCCTTCCTTACTACATTTGGTGGGGGGTTTGTCTTGTTGCATGTGGAGTACATAGTTTACGTGCGCATTTAGGTGTCTCTCCTTGGTGCCAGTGCGATGCGCTCATGTTTGTCACCTATATGTGACTCCTTCAAAACAACACATGGCTTGCCTTACTTTACATGTGATTTTCGGGTCCATTTTAGTTTTTAGATTAAATTACGAATTTAATCTATAAACTTTTAAATTCGTGTCAAATAGGTTCTTAAACCTTTAACTTTGTGTCTAATAGGTAATCAACTTATTTGGTATCTTTCAAATTTTAAGAACTTACTGGACACTAAGTTGAGAAGTTTTGTAGAGGTTTGAATTATGTTTTCACGTGAAAGAAGTAAACTGCGGAGAAGTTATACCGAAGATTTGTATGGATTCACTCTTTCATTAGGTTAAAACCATTTCCTACCAATAAGAATGTGGATTACAATGAGTATAATAAAAGAGAACTTTTGCATACTCTCTCAAGAGTATGCCTAACCTTCCTAGTAACCTTTAGTACAATATCATTTAGGAATTAAACTATTTGTTGTGGAAAGATTTGAGGTTGATTTTATTAACCAATTGATATCTCTGATATCTTGTACAACTATCCATGAAAGATAAGAAAAAAACATAATCAATTAGTTATTGATATGAATAATATATACTAATGATGAGATCTTATAGTTGTTGGTATTGATATTTGTCCATTTTTCTTCATAATGAACTTCTGGGATCCTTCTTGGACTTGAAATCATCATGATACTGCTGATAAACGTAGGAAACAAAACCCCAAACCGCCAAAGCCATGGCAACACCTTTCAGCCCACTCATCTTATCATGAAACAAGAACACCGCCGCAACAGGAACTATAGGAAACCCCAGTACACAAACAGCATTGGAAAACAGAGAAGAAACCTCAAATATCAAACCAACACAACCAAGAGTGAAAACCTTCCACAAAATGGCAGTCCAAACCACTGTCATAATGTAAGACACTTTCCCCAACTCAAACTCATTCATCTCCTTCTTCAAACCCCTCCACTCTCCACTCACAAAAAGCCCCACAACAATGGCCAGACAAGCAAAAAACGACCGGAACCAAATCATGTCCACAATAGCCTTGAATGATTCGTTTTTGACGAGCTTGTTGAAGAATAGTTGCGTTAAAGAAAGCACTAGGCCATAGCATGCTGATCCAGCGACGGTGCAGATGAAGCCAATGATGTATTTGGCCTTAGAGGCCTTGTTGTAGGCTGAGCCCTCTGATTCTGTTTGAAAGACAAGGAGGGTTGAGGAGATGGTAAGAACAACAAGGGAGTTGATGATTGAAGGAGTGAACTTTTGGGAATTGAGGAAGAAGGAGAAGATAGCATTGAAGGCTAATTGTGAGGAAGAGAGGAGGGAATAAGTGGAGACAGGGAGGTACATGAGACCAATGGAGAATAAGTAGCAATCTGCAGCTAAAAACAGCCCCAATGAGGCATAAACCAGAGCTAGCTTCAACAGAGTTGGTTGTTGTTCTGTGTGGGAAATATTGTTCCTGTTTGTTCTTCGTTTGGTTGCTCTTATGATGTAATAAGGAAGGAAGATGGGGAAGCCTGCTACTTGGACCAAGGTTCCAAGCCATTTGCTTTTGCCTCCTTTGTCAAAGTAGAGTCTTCCAAGGAGGGTAGCCACTGACTGTCCTAGAAGGAGAAAAATGATGTAGACAAAGATCTTAACCCACTTCTTGTAATTGGCTTTGTGGGTGATTCTTGTTTGGTTGGTGATTGTTTCTGAAGATTCCATGGAGTTTGATCCTTTGGCTATCTGATCTGCTTCTGAGTTATCTAACAATTTAAATAAAATAAGATTAGAAGAGAGAACATAAAATATTTCAATGGCTGCTGACGAGTTGATTCTCCCTTTTTCTTTAAGCTCTTTTCCACTGATACAGAATGGAACAAAAAGCATACAAAATTTCTATCTTCTTTTTAGTCTGCTATTGATTTGCTGGAATTACCTGTAATTTGCAGGCACTTTTCTTGAACTTCTGCCATGGCTGAAAGTGAAGAGCTTCCTGAGAGAGATGGTGAGGAACCTATGAAGAAGAAAGAACAGACCATTCAAAGGATTGATTCATTAGCTCATCATAAGAAGCCTGCAACTTCTTTTTTTTTTTTTCTCAGTGAAGAACAATCCAAAACAATGTTCTTCTCTTTTATCCCCTTCTTGGACGAAAAAGTTGACCCAGTTGTCACAAATGCACCATAAATTGTGAGAAGACAGAAAAATACTTCAATTTGTTTATGATATGAAGAAAATAGTTCAATAAATAGTGTGGAGTTCCTGTGACAGCAACTCTGCTTGGATGGGCTATGAGTGATCAAGTTGATGTGTGGTAGAATCCACTTTTTAGAGAATATAAGACCAAGTTAGAAAAACATTTCTTCTGTTGAAGGTTTGCAAAATACCAAGTTAAGCTAGAATAATTGGTTTTTTAAAAAAGAATAATTTGGTATTGATTGTGACTTTTTTTATTAAAAAAATCTCTGTAACTTTGAAATATTCAATAAATTTAAATAAAATATGTGTAAGATTCTTGGATTATGCTGATGTTTGGCTTATTCGATAAGGTATTATCGAAACATAGAAATAACGATGGAGACTTTGATTTGAATATGTAATTTTACTTTTAATTAAAACAAAATTTTATTTAAGATACTAAAAAAAAATTGTATATTGTTTCTGCATACTAGCCCCTTCTCATTACTCGACATTGATTTTTCCTGAATTACATCGGTGGACTGAAAATGACTTCCTAGCGACCAAATGAAATATTTATGAATTTATTTCGTTGTTGGTAGGTCAATTGGAAAAGTAGCATTTAAGTATGCTTGAAAGACTTAAATGACTTACTGATTGAAGTTTTATGTTCAGAAATTTTGAAATTTTATAACCTTGTTAAGAATTTAATTAATTAATATTAACTAATGATAACCATTTAATATATTAAAGAAAAATTGTAATGAATAGCAAACATTAGGTTATTTGCAAATTTAGCCAAGGAATTTTTAGATTTGCATATATAGAAAAAAGAAATTAAAGCTAAGATTAGGTGGAGGATCGAACCTATTACCTCTTGATCATTCAATATCTAATTGAAACTAACATCACCCAACAGCAGTAGAGTAACAGCAAAGATGACCTATATTATGCATCTATATGTATAAGAATGAGATCATGAAGGAGCTTTAGATCTCTAAACAACATTATCTTTCCAAATACAAAATTGCCACAACAAAGGGACTAAAAAGTGTATAAAAAAGTCTGCAGAAACCACATGAAATAAGAACCTCTGTTCTATTTTTCTCTAAAGTTCTCCAAGTTCTTACATTCTCTCTTTGGTGAAGATTGCAAGAACGCAAAAGTAGGGAAAATGTTGTGTTTCATAGACAAAAAATGGGGTGAACTACTGAGACGAATTTATTATACGACGAACATATCAATAATTTCGGCAGAACTTCAATTTTGAATAATTATAATACATCAAAGGCCAAGGCTACTTCACCAAAATCGGCAATGCTTCTCTTCTTCTGTGGGGGGAGTTGAAATTTGAAAGCATAAAAGAACTTTTGCTATGTTTCCTACAGACTCGTCTTTAAAGCTGAAAAGCTGAAAAGGCCAGCTGAAGGAAGCCTATCGAACGAGTTGGATATACAACCAAAAAGAATTCATCTCCTTTCACTTTTGCACATTTCCAACTGGAAATAAACAATGTAGAAATGGCTCTTTGCATTCACAATAATATCTGAATCATCAATTAGAAATAGCGACTCATCAACTGATAAGTTTAAACAGGATAAAAAGCCAAAAATAAAAAATGAAAAATCAATTTAAAATTCCAAGAAACAGAAGGGAATGCCCTACAGCTGAAAATACTATCCACTAATGACAGTTCCTCAGTAATCCGCAAATAAAAATTGGAACGTGAGTTGAAAAAAATAGTTAGATGATTAGAGATTAACATATACAATTTGAGGTTAGTGATGAGTATTGAACTATGGTTTATCAAATAAGCTCATATGTATTTACCACGACAAAGCAAGTTGGGCAAAGGGCTTACCGTCAAATGAAGAAACCGAAGAAAATCAATGAGATGCTGTATAAGCATAAACCAATTGCACAAGCGGCAAGTAAATTTTGCAGTAGACGCCGATCGTCTTTTGTGGGAATAAAGGCCGCCTTAAGTGTGTTTGTTAATTCAAATATCCGAAGAGAGAGCTGCAAAAGAGAATAAATTTACAAATCATCGTGCAAGAAAATGAAATATTAAAAGTACTATATCTTGCATAAAATAAACGGCCATGTAGATTTTCTCTTACAAATACATAGACTGCTGTAGTGAGCATGAAATTGAGCATAGGATATTCTGGAATGATAGAAAGAAGCCACTTAGGCTGTCCATTGGGTACATTTGATCTGCACAAACAGACCAAGAAAATAAAAATTGCTTGTCTTGAAGATAGAAATCGCATTTTAAATTCCATATAAACTATTCCACTACAGAGCCCATTTTTATCATTACTTGTGAGCCTTATTCAGAAAGAAAAAGAAAATTTGATACTGGCAGAAGAGTTTTAACACATTGTGTTCAAGTCAAAGATACATTCTGATTCATTATCACATCACATTAGAAAGAATGGATTAAATAGAGAGTTGCAAATACCAATAATAATAATGATGATGATAATAATAATAATAATAAATCCTCACCTCAGCCATATATGAAACTGTGAAATGTAAGTTTCAAGGGTAATCTTGCCAAGCCACCTAATGATATAACATAGTTAGACGAAAATATTCCAAGTTCAAATCTAAAAGATCTTATAGTAATTAGAAAAGAAATACATACGCCAAGAGCGTCAAAGAGTAGTTACGGATCTGCTGGGTAAAATTCCGCAGGCAAATATAAACACTAGAATCAAAATATAACGAGATCAGCGATATGATACAAAAAAGAAAAAAAAAAGTAAACAACGAACACTTCTCCAGTACATACGTTATAGGAATCCATGATGTGTAAGGATGATACTTGTTATATGTAATTTTGTCCAGCTTATATATCCACTCATACCACATATAACCAACCTGGAGAAAACAGATGGCATAAAGAAACGCAATTACTAAAAGTAGACTATTGTTGCCACGCAAAAGATATTGCTAGTCACAAGTCCAACTTACGGACAGGGCAACTGTAACTATGCACGCTTTTATAGAGATTCTCTTCTTGGTATCAGCTTCCTCTAACTTCTCCATCCATTTCTCAACCTAGGACATAAAAAAACGATTATCTTAGGGATAGTGAACAAAAAGATTTTTTTTTTTTTTTTTTTTTTTTTT